CTTATGTGCATCAGTTGAACAGGGCTCCCTCTGGGGAGAAGGCATTAGGTGGGGCCCCAGGTGGGGAGCAGACTTGGGTGGCAGCGCTGACTATAAAGCTGGGCTGAGGCGCCTCCTTGGCTCGTGGGGACGGCCTCCCCGCCCAGCCAGGCCGGGCCCAAGCCTCTTTTGCTTCCAGCAAGGACCTGGCTTCTCGTGGTCACCTTGCAGCCCGTGATTCCTCCCAGACCAGGTTAGGCCCTGCTGGGGCCCGCGGGGCTCTCCACACTACCCAGCAGGCGCCTGGCACCCAGCAGCCCCGCTCGGCCCCGTCCACGAGTGAAGGCCAATGCCCAACGCTGCAGGTTGTTACACTGAAAGTCTGCTGCGTGCGTGATGGCACAGGTGTAAGCCACCCCCGGAGGCCTCGAGAAAGCAATCTGCTCAGCCCCGCTGTGCTGCACAGAGCAGGTCCCTGCTGGGAAGGGCCACTGGGCCCTTCCTGTCTGTCTGTCCCCTGACGGACTGTGGGCCTCTGGAGGGCACAGACCTCTTTTTGACAGCGGTTTCTCGGCTGCCCAGTTCAGAGCGCACACACTGCTCAACAGAAGCTGTCAGGGAGTTGCCAGTGTTTGATTCATTTACAGTTCCCAAGCCCTGCCAGAGCTTCACTCCGTGCGCCTCGCCCTTCGCAGGGGTCAGCAAAGACATCAGAAAATGAAGGTAACAAAGGCGCAGCTTCCTGCCTGCCCGGGGCAGGATCCCACACCGCATGCCTGACCTCAGCCCAGCCCGCTCCAGAACCTTCTGTAGCTCTCCACTTGCTGCCAGGGGAAAAGCAGGAGGAAGGAAGGCCTCGAGGGTCAACACCACCCTTCAGATCCAGCCCTGTGTCTCAGTCTCAGTCTCTGCAAGGACACTGGCTGTGGGAAGCAGCCTCTGCCTGGGGCCACGGAGAACTCCCTGGTGCACGCAGGCCGACCAACAGCTTGCCGCCAGAGCAGAGTGCGGCTGCGCGGCGGTGTCACTCCCACGACTGGGTGTGGAGAGACAGACACTTCCACACTGGTTACACTCTACCTCTCTGCAATGACTCTTCCAGCAAGGCCAGCTGCAGGCAGTAGGCAGCACCGCAGGGAAGCCCACTGGCCAGGGACAAGGGCCGCCAGTCAGCGTGAGCAAGCTCGAGACAGACATCTCCAGGTCGGCTTTTATCTGAGGTGCTTCTTTTGGAATACAAAGGCCTTCATGCTGAGCCACATCACGAGCTCATTTTTTATTTCCTAGTTTGAGACAGAGTTGTGCTAAGTCACTAAGTTGCCCAGGCTGAGCTCAAACTTGGAATCATCCTGCCTCAGCCTCCCAGAGTGCTGGGATTACACACGTGCGCTGCTGCCGCTCCAGGCCACAGCCAACAATCTGCACCCTCATGAAAGACAAAGCCAGAGGCCACTGGTTGAACCAGGCCAAGAATCCTGAGCGCGAAATGGCCAGACAATTAAATATCTGTTGCTCTAAGCTTCGGGGCAACTTGTCATGCAGCAACTGGTAATGAATACAGTATCGATAGTCCCATTCCTTGGACAGGGCACAGAGGGCTGGGAACTAGGACTGGCGGGCCCAGCTCACACAGCTGGGGGTGGCGGAGCTGGACCACGAGCGCCTATCAGTCCCACTGCCCTCCAGGTCGCAGAATCAGGCTGTCCCTGACCCCAGCACCTGCCATGGCCCCTGTCCAGGCCTGAGACATGGAGATGTGGCCCCACACAGCCCACCACCCGGCTCCCCTTGCACAACCTGCATGGTCAGTGTCTCCCAGTGGCAGGCAGGGTGCCAGGGAGCAGTGTCCTGGGGGCCTTGAGCCGAGATTGTGGGGCAGTCAGGTCACACTCCAGAACCCTCCACAGAGCCTGCACTGCCCGCCCGGTGGACCATGCAGAGCCTATCCCCCGCTTGTCCTTGCCCTGCGACAGCTCTGCAGGTAGACCTTAGTGTCCCTGGTCCACACAAGGATGCAGGCCACCATTACCAAGAGCACAGCAGCGCTCACACCCTCTGAGGACTCCGGCCCACCTTCCTGTCCTCTCTCCATCCTGTCACTGGCCACCCAGCTCAGGCGCCTGCCACTCCCTTCAGCTCCACGGACAGCCTGTACTGCCCCCTGACTCTGACTAAGCACTGCTAGTGTCCACTGAGTGCCAGGCACTAGGCGGGCTTGAGGGAACAGGGAGCTGGGATCGGCCTGGCGCCTGCCCTCCCAGGACCCTCAGGCCTTGGGGCACAGGGGTTGAGTGTGGCCTGAAGCAGCAGGCACAGCCCAGGCTCCAGGCTGTTCTGTCTGGGTCTAGGACCCCAAGCCGCTGTCAAGGGGCAGGCGCCTCCTCTGCGCTCACCTCCAGGCTGCTGGCGTGAGAATGAAGGAACCCAAGAAGGAGAGGTGAGGAGTCAGCTCCGGCGGGCCAAGGCAGGGTATCCCCTCCGAGGCAGTAGCTACACAACCTCAGCCAGCCACTTCCCCCTCCCAGCCGCAGCAGCCTCTCTGGGAAAGAAGGAATAGGAACCGATCTCTCAGGTCCCCAAGCCCTGGCACCTTCCAATACTGGGATGTGCAAAGTCCAGCAAGCAGCTGGAGGTGACGTGATGGTCAGGCGTGCGTGCATCTGTGTGTCACCCACACGTCAACCCTCAGCAACAGGCCACCCCCTAGCCTGGAGGGAGTTAAGGAGACAGGGAGGAAGGAAGGGAGGGGCTGTTCTCTGAGGTTACTCCTGCTGCTGCTGTGTCCCTCTGGACACCTGCTACCCGGCCAGCCTGTCCCTAAGACCAGCAGCTGCCATAGAATCCTGCCTGGTAAGAGAGGCATGTGTAACCGCGGCAACCATTTCCAAATGTATCTTCCATCAGTGCCCTCCCAGGCTGGGCCCAGCAGAGCCCAGCTCCGCCCCAGGGCATGCACACACACACACACACACACACACACACACACAGAGCTACTCCCCTGGACAACACACAATTGCTTTGACACACAGATACATCTCCCCGTACACAAACAGACCCAAAGCACAGGTCCGTGAGTCACACACAACAGAAACTCCAAACACCTCCACAGGCACGGAGCTTAGGTCGTTCCCACCCCACCCCAGAGTGCCGGGTCTGTCTCTCATTGTAGCCCAGGAATCCAAAGTCTTCAGGCCCAAGACACACCACAGGCCGGAAGCCAAGCAGAAACCTCGAGAGCCTTTGGAGTAAGACTTCCGGGACAGAAGCAACCTGGGAGGAAGCCACCGCCTGCGCCTCCTGCTGGCCCCAGCTTACCTCCCTGTGAACAAACCAGGGCCACCAGGGAGGCCACATGGGCAGCCAAGTGGCACACATGTGGGATTGTCATGTGTGAGGCTGCGTGGGCCGGGGCTTGTGCTGGGGGACTGCGTGGCCACCAGCACACACCCCTCTTACCCCCGCCCCCCTGGAGTCAGCAGCAGAGGCAGCAGGCCAGGCCAATGGGGCGTGGGACATGAGAGTCCGCCAGCGCCCCAGCCCAGATGCCCATCCAAGATGTCCTCTTGTCACAGGTAATGGGACACACGGAGGGCAGGACTGTGACCAGGGCTGAGGACATCTGTCCACACCTTCTCAATTTCCTTCTGCTTATTTCCTGCTTACTCTGACCAGACAGCCTTCATCGCCAGCTGGGGCAGAGGTAACTATTATTAGCCCAGTGGCAGATGAGACCCCTGAGGTGCAGGGCGGGCCTCCCCCATCCAACACACTGCCCCGTACCCCGGAGCAGGCGCTCAGAGGGCCTCGGGGCCCCGTGCCCCATGGATCCTGTGCCTGAGCCACTGGAGGTCAGAGTGTCATGTCCCAAGCTCACACGCCACAGACAGGCAGGCCGGGCCCAGGTCAGCCCAACCCTCATCGCCAGCCAAGGCCAGGCCACTGGCACTGGCCGGCCGACGCCGGATTATGTGTCTTCCAGGGCCTTCCATCTGTCGCCTGGCTCTTCAGGCTCAGGACAGAATTCATTTCCTTTTAAGAGAACCAATGATTTGCTTTTGCCATGTCTTTCTCTGCCTTTTTCTTTTTAAATTAGAAATTACTCCTGAAAGTCCAGAGTCTGGAAGGAGAAAGCCACCTGGACCCCAGTCCGGGCCACAGTTTCCCGGCACCTCCAGGTCCCCCAGTGCCCCGCAGACTGGGCAGATGGCAGCCACTCGCCTACTCATGCCCTGTCCAAGCGGGAGGGCCCCAGGAAGCGTGGCAGGGGCTCCCCACCAACTTCTATGCCGCCAGATTGGAGAACTCAGCTCCAGTCCTGAGGAAGGCGTCCCCCGGGGGATGACACTACACCAGCTTTGAGCTCCCAAGACCACAGCACTACACCCAGGGGACAAGAGGACCCCAGTGGCAGCAAGCAGGAGCCCCGCAAGTGGAGACCCCGTCTCCCTCACTCCCCCCCACCATCCGGGGTCTGTCTGGTAGACGACACAGGTAAACCAGGAGCTTTCCTCACAGCAGCCATGCTTCAAGAGGCAGGCCAGGCACCGTGAGGGTGTCACTGGCTTCCACACAAGCCGGCAGGGTGCACACCCTCAGAGAGCTCTAAAATGCGCACGCGCGCACACACACACACACTCCTGCACAAGGGTGTGTGACCGCACACCTGCCCCATCTCTGTCAAGGCACACAGCACCAGTTCCACAGCCCCCATCCTGGGGTCACGAACCATCCCCCACCCTGCTGTCTGACCAGAGTTTGCTGCCACAGGGGAGAGGCAGGCAGGGACAGCCAGGACTTCCTATTCCACGGTGGGGCTGCTCCAAGCCCGGCTAAGAGGACACTTTGTGGGGAGATCCAGCCAGACCCCTGGACCCCTGGGCTTGCCCTCATGCCCCCAGAGTCCCCCAGGAGTGAGGGCCAGGAGGATGACCAAGCCCTCCTTTCCATGCCCCTGGCCCCAGCTCCCAAGGTTGCCCCCCACTGGGAATGGGTGGACCCTCCAGCACCCATGGGGGCCTTACCGTGGAGGGTGCTCCGGGTGATCTGTCCCCCCATTGCGGGCAGCAGGCAGCACGGCCACCTCCGTCTGGCTGGCCAACCTCGTCACGGTCACCAAGCAGCCCCAGCTGTCAGCTCCCCTCCTCCTCCCCCAAGTCCTCCCCCATGACCAGCAGGCATGGCAGGGCTGCGCGACCCCTCCTGCACCCCCAGCGCGCCCTCCCACACGCGCACACACCCGCCCAGCGGCCACACACGCGCGCACACGCACACCCGCCGCCCAGCTTCCACCCACTCTGAGCTTCCCCCACCTCCCTCTTGTGCAGGCGATGGGATCTGTCATGTTTATTTACATAAAGAGGAGGAGACTGGAGGCTTCCTGAAATAGCCGGGCTCCAGAAAGCGCTGAGATGCCCCGGCTCCCAGCGCTTGCGCGCTCTCTGTCTCACACACACACACACACACTCTCCCCCCAGACACACATGGGTATAGTGACACACACACACACTCAGACACACACGCTCCCAACTCGCCAGTCACCTGGAGCTGCAGCCATGTGTTCCTTCCAGGCTGCTCCAAGCAGGCGCACATGAGACAGCTGGCAGACACTGTCCCTGCCCTCACGGGGTTCAGGGTCAAGCTGGGGGCCCATCAAGGAAGACCCAGCCCCGCCTCTGTCTTCCCCCAGGCTCTGTCCAGGTCTGCTGATATGCATCCTCCAGTCCTCACAAGCTGTACCCCTGCTACTAACCACGGGCACCAGTGACCAGGAGATGCTGCTCTCAAAGGGGAGAAGACGGAGCCCAAGGAGGCAACGTGCGCAGACGGTGACAGGCATCCACACACCGTGGCCGATGTCCCAGCTTCGCCTGGGCACATCTCAACAACTGAATCCAGCTCGACCACACTAGTTAAGGACCTACTGTGTGCCAGGCCCTAAGCTATGTGTGGGGAATGCAGTGGTGATCACAGCGGGGATCTTGGCTCTTTGGACTCACAGTGCAGAGGAAACAGACACGAAGCAAGCAGCATCGGTAAGAACACTCTCCCTTCAGTAGAGCAAGATGCTCTGTACAGCCACCATTCCAGAAATGTTTGAAGCAAAGGAGCAAAGTTCAGGGGCTCAGGGCAGTTCTCCTGAAAAGTGGTGGTGCTAATAGGGTCTGCAGGTGGTACAGCGTGGCTCCAGAGAGCGAGCGCAGCGTGGGCAAAGGCCCTGGGCCCAGGCGAGCCCAGCATGCAGAAGAAGCAGGTTGGTGCGGCTGCGCAGGCGTGGGGGGGGAGCGTGGGCAAGGAGCTGTGGGCAGCCCCAGATGGGATGGGGTGCCTGGGAGTCAGGGGGAAGAATTTGGCCTTTTGAGAGTAACAGGCAATCCCTACAGGTTCCAGCAGGGGCTCACAACACCAGCCCTGCATTTCAAAGAGGTCTCTCTTCTGCCATCTGTCGGGGTAGCCCTGGGAGGAGGGCAGAAATCATGGGGTCAGAGCTGAACCTAGCTTGTCCTCGTTCTGCTCGGGCCAAAGAACAGCTTCCCTCACAGAGCCACCCTTGGAAACAGCAAAACTGCCATTCTCCAGCAGGACTGTGGGGCAGTAGTCACACAGTGGTTGACACGGAGCAGGGCAGGTAGGGCTGGATCAGCAAGCAGAAGGGCAATGTTCCCCTCAAATGCCCTCATGAGTGGAATATGAGAGATCTGGGGCCCAGGCCTTCCCAGCAAACTCACCCACCTTGTCTGGCCCCTGATTCCCACACTTCTGCCTAGTTGCACCAGGAAGTGACAGTGCACTTGTCCCCAGTGTCCCTCCCTCCTGCTGCCCCCATGCTAAGTCCAGGGCCTCCCTGGGGGAGGCCGCATCCCTCTCCAAGCTGGAGTCAGGGATGCACGCCTCCTCAGAGGCACTGTGGGAGACTGCACTTGGCCAAAGGGCTCCAACATGTAAGGGTGAGCGGGCCACTGCCCTACATCATCCGTGTCCCCAGTGAGCACTCACCGAGCACCAGCCTGGGACCAACTGGTGACTATGCACAACCGCTCTTCAGATGTCACCTCCAGGTCCTGGGGGAGCCCTGCTGAGATCAAGGAGGGCTCTGGTGCAAGGATCTCTCTCTGCGCTCCATTCTGCTGGTGCACTCCGCAGGCAGGTCCACAGCAGGCCTCATGCTCCAGCTACCTGACACTCAGAGGCGCCGGGAGCTGGGCTCAGGGTTCTGCCTATGGACTCAGCACAGCCCACAGCATCCTTCAGGAGCTGTAACCATTCTGCCTTTGGAGGCTGTAAAACCGAGATTCACAGAGGCAACACCAAATGAAGAATGAACCAGGCTTTAAACTCAGACCTGCCTGACATTAGAACCCATGCTCTACCCAGAGGAGGCCAAAGGACAGTGGCCCCTCTTGATTTGGAACCTTCTCAGGAGAAAGCAGAAGGGCTCCAGGCGGTGGCAAGGCCTAGTGGTTTTCAGGGAATGGAGAATGACACCCAGGGTGGAGCCCCAGCAAATGCTGAGGAGACAGGCTAGGTATAAGCACTTGGTCCAGACAGATGTAAGGTCCCATCTTGGACGAAGTAAATGCGTCCACCGCTGGGCAAAGGCAGACAGGAAGCAGGGCTGGGTGTGTCCCAGGGCACCCTGCTGTGGCCAGAGAAACTCCTCTACAGTGAGCTGCAGCTGCCCCAGGGCGCGGAACCTCCGTGTGCGGCTCTCTGCACCCATTCCGCTCCCTCACCCAACCCACGCACAGCTCCTCCGCTGCCCACATCTCCCACCTTCTTCCGCCCCTCCTTCCTCTGGGCACCATCGTGGCTTCCGCAGGAGCTGCCTGCTCAGCTCCTTCTCAGCGAGTCCTTTCGCATCTCCTCCCTGAGCCCAGCACCCAAACCCGCCTCGGGGCGTGTCTGGTTTCAGACAGAGCCAGCCAGCGCAGAGTCAAGGACTGGCCAAACTCACGGGATGGACACCATCTAAGGCCCAGGCTCAGAGCCTCCGAGGCCTGGAGGTCCCAGACAACAGCAGCAGCAGCTTCAGCCTTGCGTGCCGCTGCCCAGGTGTAGCACACAGGCCCAGTGAAGTGCAGCCCTCCCAAGGACTCAGAGCGGGCGCCATAGGACGACTGCAGCGCAGGCTCCTGCCTTCTGGGGCATCACTGAGTGGGAGCTGCAGGCTGGGTACAGAAGACAAGGCCAGACAAGGGGAGCAGAGCCCCTCCACCAGGAAGCAGGCAGGTGGACGTTCTGGAGTGGCCAGGGAGGTGGAGTAGCTGGCTGGGGGCAACTGGGGGCAGCTCCTGGCTGCCACAGAGGGCTTTCCATCAAGAACAGGAGACAGTGTGATGGAAGCGGTAAGTCCCCCAGGCCTTGGGGTTTACGGCCAGCCTGCCTGGGCCGTGCTCCCTGGCCTATGGGGCTGGACCTGATGCTGGAGAGCGGGGAACAGCGAACCCGCCCCAAATCTTCCCATTCCCAGAACCAGGACATGAGTATTGGCTGTGGCCTTGAGTCTGAGAGAGCGAAGAAGGGGACAAGGGCTCCCAGAGACAGAGACAGCAAGCTGCACGCTGCAGAGAAACTGGAGCCAGGAAGCCCAGGGGGCGATCTCGGGCTGGGCCAGGTGCCCCAGCAGGGACAGCTGACAGCCGCCCAGCATGCTGAGAACACAACAGGTGCAGCCGTGGGGGCGGGGACTGAAAGGGGATCAGGGAGAACAGCCCGGCACTGGGGCCCTCCCCGCGCCTCTGGGCCCAGGCCCACGGCCCAGCAGCCTTGTCTGGACCCTCCAGGACACAACACACTTGAGAAGCCTTGGTTCTGGGCACTCCTGGACTACACAGAGGGGTAGCTGCAGCACCAGGCAAAAAGAACAGTACAGGAAGAAACCAGGTTTCTGTTCCCGGGACAGAGTGTGCCAGACCAGGCCACACCCACAGTGCCCCCAACTGGAAGCAAACATTTGTCCTGATGTGATCGTTGTCACAGGCCAGGAAGGGTGGGTGGATATGGCCACCCCACCCATATGAGGCTGAGCACTCTGGCTCAAGGTCAGACAAGTCAGCTCCATGCCCTGTGACCTGGCAAGCCACTGGGGCTCTCTGCGGCTGGGCCATCTCTCCTCTAGTGGGGCATGACACGGTGCTCATGAGGGCAGAGTGACACAGTGTCCATACGGCATCCTGCTTGGCCACTGTCCAGAGGCCCCGAGGAGTCAGGAGTGCAGATCCTGGAGGGGCTAAGGTCCCCCCCACGTGTGACTTGGGGTGTAGACTAAGAGAATGTGACCTGAGGCTGGAGAGATGGGGGCTTGCTTTCCCACGAGCCACCTGCATCACCACGTAGGACCATTCCCTTCCCCACCTGGTGCAGGGACACTGCCCTAGGCCTCAGTGTGTCACTGCTTGCCTGGAGAACATGCAAATGCCATGTCACTGTGCCGGGGAGGAAGCTAGAACTGAGGGTCTGCACTGTTCTTTGTCACCTGGTTAGCTCCTTGCTTTTTTTTTTTTTTTTTTTTTTTGCGGTACTGGGGATTGAACTCAGGACCCTCTACTTGCCAGGCAGGCCCTTATTCTACTGAGCCATCTCCCTGGCCGCTCCCTGCTTTTGATCAGTATGGAATGAATGCTAAACTGGAAGCTAGCCCTGGTCCCATCATGAGTGACAAAGTGCCAGGATTTGAATTCATAAGCCCTCCTTGTTCCAGGAGAAGCTTGCTGGGAAGGTGAGGAACGACAGACAGTGAGACGCCCAGGAGGGACAAGCAGACAAGGAGACCTAAGATGACACAGGAGGCAGGACACATGTGCTGGACCAGGCAAGACTCTGCCATCGGGATGTGGGCGAGCACCCGCCTGCTCCCTGCCGAGCCTGCAGGGTTATGAGCAAAGCAGTAGATGAGCGGAATAAGCCTGCTGTGCGGGCAGAAAGCTGCCCCCAGTCACTCCTTTCCACCCTGGCACACTCCCCGAATGGACGGGCACCTGTGGGCGCCCGCACGCATGCACGCACGCGCACACACACACACACACACACACACACTTCTAGGCCCCACAGCTCAGCCAAAGCACCCAATGCACACTCACCCTGGCACCAGGCCTCCAGCTGGCAGGTGGAAGCCACCCCAAGGCTGCAGCCCACTTTCCTCTGAGCAGTCTATATCCCCTCTCCTGCTTCTGGCCCACTACTCTATACCTACTCTTGTGCCACACACACCACCCCCTCTCCAAGCCCTGGGCTCAGACACAGCTCAGCGGCTGGTATGTCAGAGTCATGGCCCAG